ACAGCGTGCCAGGCCCGAGCTGGACCCTGGGGACCCGTGAGCATCACACGCCGTGTGGGGATTGCTCCCTACCCCACGCTCATCACGTAATTACACAACATACGTGTGTAATTGGGGAGCTTAATGGGGACCAGCCGTGGCCTGCAGGTCAGGGAAGGCTTGTCTGAGGACCCGAGGGAGTGTGCCCGGGGAAGGGAGTTGGAGTGGAAGAGGGCAAGCCAGAGAATGTTCACACCCGAGCTGCTGGTAATAACAAAAACATTGGAAACACCCCAGATGACCCTCCGCAGGCGAGTGGGCAAATGAGCTCTGGAATATTCATGCCATGGACTATTAGGCAGCAGTGAAACTGAAGGAGCTTCAGCTGCAAACAGCAACACATCTATCTCAGAAACAATGTGGAGTGAAAAGTGGCAGAAAACTACATACACTATGATGCAACTCGTAGAATGTACAATAAAAGCAAACCCTAAAATATGCATGTTTAGACATGCATTTGGAAGAATGTTTTTTTTAAATGTTTTTATTGATTTTTAGAGCGAGAGAAGAGGGACAGAAACATTGAAAAACATCACCCATCCGCTGCCTCATGCAGGCCCCCTACTGGGGGAATGGAGCCTGCAACCCTGGGCATGTGCCCTGAACAGGAATAGAACAGGTGACCTCTTGGTTCTTGGGTCAATCACTGAGCCACACCAGCCGTGCTGGGAGAAAATGTTTTAAATCAAGGGAAAGATAAACATAAATTTAAGAAGAATGGTTATCTCAGGTCAGGAGAGGGGAAGAGCATACAGGTATATTCAGGTTATTGGTAATATTCCAGTGCTTGGGTGGGATGGTGTTTTACTTCATTTCATTATATTCTAAATATATAATGAGAAACGAGAGGGTAGGAGAGTGGAGGACAAGGGGCTAGAAAACCAGGTGAGAACTAGGTCACATGGGGCCTGTGGGACATGGTGAGGTCTTTCCCCTGAGAGTGCTGGAAAATCAGTGCAGGGTTTTAAGTGGAGGCAAGACAGGATCGAACCTTTATTTGGAAACAATATTCTCAAAGTGTGATCCGGGAATAATCAACATCGATGTCACCTGGGAGCTGATTGTAACTGTGACTCTCAGACCCCACCCCAGACCCACTGAGCTGCAATCTATCTTTAACAAGATCCACAGTGACTGGTGTGCACATTGCAGGGTAAGCCCGGCCTCGCTCTGTCACCGGAAAGGGACTGGTCCGCAGCGGGTTGGCCTCCGGCACGTGTGGGTTCTTGATTTCATGCGGGAAAGATTTCACAGCACAAGTCCAGGTGATTGAGAGGATGTTTATCAAAGCTGGGGACAGTGAAACAAGGGTGGGCCTAGGGTAGAAGAAGCAACAGGACAGCCTGGGCAGAGCTCTCTAAAGGTGGGAATTTTAGGGGCGGATGTAACAGAATATTTATCAGCTTTATGCTGATGTGCCAAAATGAGATTTATTCCCTTTATCTGTCCTTGGATGTGGTTGGCACAAATGGCACTAATTGGATTTCTGTGATCTATCTCCCCAACTAGGGTGATTTAAGCTAATTTACCCTCTGGTTGGGGAGTTGTGTAAACCATTTACTCTTCAGTGTTCTTGATTAGGGAAGATAAGCTTTTTACTAGACAACCATAAACTGCTTGGCCTTTTAACTATCTGTCAGTGGAATTCCCCACTCCGCTTGTCCTGGCTTACTAGCCTGTCTCAGCTGCAGTGAGCGAGGGCATTGCAGAGGGGCCAGAGCAAGTCTGGAGACCAGGAAGGAGGCAACTGCAGTAGCCCAGGCTGGGGGAGATGGAGAAAATCAGATTCAAGCTACACTTAGGGGGTAAAGTCGCCTGACTTTGGATTGGGTTGTACGTGGGAGTGAAGCAGAGAGCAGGTCAAAAATGATTCTTCCAGTACATTGTGGAAACCAGAGGAGTGTTTTGTAAGATTCTTTCCCGGCTCTCTGTGCTATGCAGGGTAAATCATAACAGCTCCACTTATTGAGAAATATTTGGAGCAGGTACTCTGAGAAGCGCTTTATAAACACCATCATATTTAATCTTTACATTGTATTTAATCTTTACAGCAATACCATGAAGCAGGAAGTGATCTCCTCACTTTACAGGTGAGAACACTGAGACTCAGAGAAAAGCAGAGCCTGCTTCGCACATGTGTTCTGAGTGGCAGAGCTGGGATTTGAATTTGAACCTGCCTCTAGAACTTTCACTCTCTACCTCATTACTGTCTCCCCGCCCCCTGTCATGACATTCAAGTCCATCTCCAATCAGTCCCATCACTTGCCAGCACATTCCTCAAACACTGGCCAACCTGGATGACTTGCTGGTCCATTAACGGTGACACACGTTCTCTGCTGCTACTCCCACTGTGAGACTGAGTCTGATTTTCCTCCTTTTGTTCCTGGGCTGGACTGAGTAACTTGTTTGCCTGGTAGAATGTGGTGAAAGTGACATTGCTGGACTTTGAGTCTAGGTCATAAGAAGCCTTGCAGCTTCCTCTGGGGCCTCTCGAACATTCTCTCTGGGAACCCTGAGTCACAATGTAGGAAGTCCACACCAGAGAATCCCATGCAGCTCCTCCACTGGACTGTCCAGCTGAGCGCAGTCTTTCTGCCATCCCCACCAAGAGACCAAACACAGCCAACTGAATATGTGATGCCAGGTGGAAAGAAAGAATTACCCAACTAACCCCACTCCACATTGCTGACCTACAGTTATATAATAGTTAATTGAAGTCATTAAGTCTTGGGATAGGCTGTCAAGGCAGCAATAGATAATAGGAATGCTGACTCATACCCACCCCATGACCCACCCCTAATTACTTTTAATTGATTTCAGAGAGAGGAAGGGAGAGGGAGAGAGAAACATCAATGATAAAAGAGAGTCATTGATTGGCTGCCTCCTGCATGTACCTTACTCGGGATCTGGCCTCCAACCCGGGCATGTGCCCTGACAGGGAATCGAACCATGATCTCCTGGTTCATAGGTTGATGCTTAACCTCTGAGCCATGCCGGCCAGCCCCTCCCCCTGGCAATTACTTTTGTTTTGTTAAAATTGACTGAAACTTCTGTGGGTACAGAAACCACAAACTGATCAGCAAAGGCAAGAGGACAGAAGCAACTGGAAGCTTGGAGCCAGTTACCCTCCCTCCACAGGTTTCCTTTTCCCCCAACAGCTTGGCCCAAAGCCTGCTGGGAGATTTGCTACTTGGATACCCCACCCCACACACATCTGGATCTGACCTTCACAGACCCTCAGCTGGAAGCACTTGAACACATAAAAAACAAGATGAAAACACAGAAAAACCCAAAATCCTATATGGGGAAATGATGTGGAGAGACACCCTGCAAGGGGGGGCCTCAGTAGCCTGCCTGCTCCTGGTAGTAGAGGGGTACTCCCTGGGTTTGGGCAGTTGCTGGCTAACTCTGGAGCCCCGTCGGCCACTGGGTCTTGTGGGCAGTACTTGGGGTCATATATCTGCCAGCCCAGGCCAAAACCTGGCCACGCTGGTTGGCACCTTGCATGTAGCCCATCTACAGAGATGTGGAGTTGTCACACTTGTCGGTCCCCAGCTTGGTATCATAGATGTGCCGCTGGGTCCCAGGAGCCATCACGCCCACCTGGCTGGCACACGTTTTGGTGCCCATTTGCAGGCTGATGAGTGGTCCATGGGTGGCAGGAGATGGTTCTTGGGGTAGTACAGATGTCTTTTCCTGCCATATGCTGTCATGCCTGACTGGCTGACACACCTGTTGGTGCCCATCTGAAGCCCAATGACTCACTGGCCCTCCTTGGTGGCGTCATCAAAGTTCCACTCCTGCTTCTCTGAGTACTTGATGCCTATGTCCCCGCCAGTCTGTGAGCTTTGTCTTGCCCTTTCCTGCCACAGCCGGAAGAGACACCTGCACCTGTGTCATGTTTCCACTCTCAGATAGGTCATTCGCCTTGAACAGGTCCACAGAGTTCGTACCATAGCTGACCATGATCTTGGTGAAGTTGGAGAGATTCTCCAGCTGGTGCCAGTTTTGCATGGAGCAGTTGATCTTGAGGACCAAGCCCAGATGTAGCTTATTCATGAGTGTGCACAGGATAATTCCATCCTTCAGGCCCTTCTGGAAGTGGAGACCCATAGACAGGCCTGTGAGTACCTTGATCCAGCTGCCTCCTTTTGAGGGTCATATTTGGACAAGAGCCGGTTCTTGACCTTTGCCAAAAGCCTGTACCAGGGCCCCTTATTGACCTGTGTGGTGGCCAATTACAATGTGATGATTTGATATATGTGCACATTGTGAAAGGACTCCCCCCTCAACTAATTAACACACTCATCACCTCACATAGTTACCTTTTTTTTTTTTTTGGTGAAAACATTTCATTTCTACTCTTTCAGCAACTTTTAGTTATACAAGTGTTATCAACCAACTGTAGTCACCATGTTGTACGTGAGATCCTCAGGTCTCATTCATTTGGTAACTGTAGGTAATTCCTTTATTAAACTCTCAATTACTCAGTTTGAGTGTGTCACCTGGTTCCTGCCAGGACCCT